CGATAACTCCGGTATTTGTGCACCGATTTTCATGATTCTTTTTTTGTTAGAAAGAGGATATCTCCGAAGTTGTTGCATTTAATTTGGAAGGAAATCAATTCGCCTCTAAGGATGGCTGTTCACGCATGAAGATTCATTTTTACAAATAGCGCCTAAATTTTATTATAAGCAGCAATTATTTTAACAGTTCATTTTGCTACTCTCCAATTCAAGGCGTTTCTCTCTCTCGATATACTTTGAGAAGTGAGAACCGATTTTTATTATATTTTAGTGGCGAACTAGGGGATGAATCCGGGTTTGCGCACTTCCCGGTAACCGATTTCAATAAAACGTGGTAATTATATGTAATTCCACGTACTTTTGAGGTCGGTTTTTTTGGTACTCTGTACTGAGAGTATATCATTAAACAACAAGCGAGAATTTATGTTTGTGATTTTGGCATCTAAAATTAGTCTTATATTGTTCACTCATTACTGTCATTACTAATGTTTAATGTAACTGACCGATAACATTTTGTATAATATGTTATAATGATATTTTAACGTAGGAAATCCGTTGCTTTATTTTTTCCATCCTCTAAGGAAATCTGTCATTAACCTTACTCATAGCCTTTATTTATAATACCTTATTGTAACGCCTTGGTTTTCTTACTATTCTTCTTCTTTTAAATGTTATGGCCCCATCGAAATAATCAATGATTTTGCCAATGTCAAGTAAAAATAACTATGTACGGTAGTTTAGTATTATTATAAAAATTATACAAAAAAAATGGCGATTTCGCCAATGTCCTGTGAGTTTACTATAAAAAATAAAAATGAACTGACACTGTCAAAGTGACATTTTATCATTTCATATTACATTACATTTATCGCACAAATGATAGCTGCTTTAAATAAACCAGTTATTATGAATAAATATGCAGCCTTCCTAAAAGGCATGCTGAAAGGGATGGTATTAAAAGGCGGTGAGATAATAAGCTTTACAATGTACATCATCTTTGTTAGTTCTTGTCTTATTTCCTCTTATTATTATCAAATAAAAATGACAGATATAGGTAAAATCTTAGAATAATAACGCATAGAAATGAAGCTCGCACACGTTAAGTGAGGAAAATTGTAGGACGCCCTATGGGCTTACACGAGCGAGCGGGCTGTCAGTGCTCAAGGTCAAGTCGCACCGCGAGCAGCTCAAAAATTTTTGCTAAAAATGACGAATTGTGCGGTAATTGGGTTTAAAAATATATCAGACAAATATAAAATAGACACTAACATCACATTCCACAAGGAAATAACGCGTTTCAACTTGTATTTTTATATAAATATTCACTAAAACAGAAAATTAATTTCGTTGCAACAAGATACGAAAATGTTGCAAAGTAACGGGTTTTTTCTCCCCATTTTGCTATTATGTTTCAAAATAATTATATTACGTAATTTTTTGAGAATAGGCAATATCGCGACTGTTGCAAAATTGCTACAAATGTACACCGCCGCAACAACATTGTAAGGCATTTACGTTAGCTATTTTTACGAAATATACTTAGTATTTGCCTTCATTAGTTTCATGTGAAAAATCATTATTCTTGTTCATCATACACTCATTTAAAAAAATTGTCTTGCCCAGACTTAAACTAAAATTATTTCAGGAAACTAACTCTGACTAAAAAGTCATCGTCAGTTCTCCAAAATCGTGTATAAATAACTTTCAGGTTCAGGTTCTTAATTGTTATCGTGTACTTTTCATGTAAACATACCCACAGATAATATCAGGCTATTTATATATTCAAATTCGATAGTCGCACTTAAACTCGCTTGTAAGTTTTTGTTCATATATGAGTTAAATAAGAATTGGTTAGTATTTAATAAAGTGCCTACAGATTTGCTCGTCATTGTCGATCGACAGTAACGATTGAGAATTATAGACGTTTTCGAGGTGTTTTAGAGTGCTTATTACGAATGTAGCATTAATTTCTAAATCCAAGATGGTTGACAACAAATTTCAAAAATGTATTTTTGGTAAACCATAAGGAAATGGCACGTATATCTGAATATAAGATGGGGGACAAGACTTCTAATTCTTCTTCTTCTAATTCTTTGCCATCTTGGATTTAGAAATATGTGCTATATTCGGAATGAGCAGCCCCTAATACCTTGAAAACGACACCCAACTTGCCATTATTCGAAAAATCGTGCCCGCCATCTTGGATTTAGAAATTAGTGCCATGTTCTTAATGAGCACCCCCAAATATATCGAAAACGACACCCAACTTGCTATTATTTGAAAAGTCATGTCCGCCATCTTGGATTTAGAAATAAGTGCTATATTCCTAATGAGCACCCCCAAATACCTCGAAAACGATCCCCAACTTGCCATTATATGAAAATCGTTACCCGCCATCTTGGATTTAGAAATGAGTGCCATATTCGTAATGAGCACCCCCAAATACCTCGAAAATGATACCCATATTGCATTTATTTCAAAAGTCGTGTCCGCCATCTTGGATTTAGAAATAAATGCCATATTCGTGATGAGCACCTCGAATACCTTGAAAACGATTCCCATATTGCATTTATTTGAAAAGATGTGTCCGCCATCTTGGATTTAGAAATGAGATAAGTCGTGTCCGCCTTCGTGTATTCAGATGCCATTTCCATAGGGATTACCAAAAATAAATTTTTGAAAATTCCTGTCACTTGACGTTGTCGATCAATAGTAACGATCGACAAAATCGAGCATATCTGTAGGCACCTGATCGACAGTAACGATCGACAAAATCGAGCAAATCTGTAGGCACCTCTAACTTAACGATGAGTTAAGCAAGATACAATTTCCCCACTTTTGAGGGAAATGTTATTCCATGGCATCATTATTTGTATATTTGTGTGCGTGCCGCGACCGTAAATACAAGTTGCTTACGCCTATATGAATTTGATTTTTGCCTCACTTGTGATAGACATGGGGAATAGCGTTACATTTCTATCGCCGTGACTGTCGTTCCGGTTCCAAAAAAATCACAGTGATAAATCATCGTGATTTTGTCACGACTGTTACTTCCGTGACCTTGTCACGCCTATAACTTACATCACGATATACGGTTTTAGCTAGCGGCTTCTTTCTAATACTTATAGCCGTTTTTTATAGAATGATTTTAAGTTTTTGCTTCCTTTGTAATAAGTTTCAATTCCATTCAAAAAGTTGATTTTGTATTTAATGTAATTTTGTTTTTACTTATTTAATGCGAATCTTTGGATTGTTAAAAATAACAATAAAATGTAATGTAATTATATTTTTAGTAGAATATACAAAGTAGATTATACATAAATATAAAATACCAACTCTTCCTATCATAAAACAAATATACAAAAATATTTTACTTTGTTCATAAATAAGTTTATAATAACTGCCACAGATTTTTTCATCCGCCCTTTCTAGTAGTAATAAGCTTAGAATAATAACGCATAGAATGATAGTTTCATATCAAACGAACTGTCACAAGTGAGGCAAAAACCAAATTCATGTAGGCGTAAACAACTTATAACTACACTCGTCGGCACTCACACAAATATACAAATAATGATGCTATGGAATAACATTTCCCTCAAAAGTGGGGAAATTGTATCTTGCTTAACTCATCATTAAGTTAAAGGTGCCTACAGATTTGCGCGACATTGTCGATCAGGTGCCTACAGATGTGCTCGATTTTGTCGATCGTTACTGTCGATCGACAATGTCGATCAGGTGCCTACAGATATGCTCGGTTTTGTCGATGAAAAACGAATATAGCACTTATTTGTAAATCCAAGATGGCGGACACGATTTTTCAAAATATGCTATATGGGTATCCTTTTCGAGGTATTTGGGGATGTTCATTACGTATATGGCACTCATTTCCAAATCCAAGATGGCGGACACGAGTTTTCAAATAAATGCAATATGGGT